AAGCCGGCAAATTGAAATTTTCTACCTCATACTATTTCATCATGTGATTAATTGATTCCTTGCTTATTGTGACAGACTTAAAGGCAACCATGCTGGATTTTGAGGTTGAAGTTGAGGGGAGAACTCAAATCTGTCTCAAATGCTAGAGCTGTCAAAACTGTACCTTGTTTAAAACATAAATGTAGGGTTAAATACCAAAGTGGATACAAAGTGGACAGAGTTGTGTATGATGTTGTTGGAGGTGGACAAGAAAATATTTTGCAGGGCCAAGAATTCAGTGTTCCAACTGTGCACACAAAAATAGGCCTTGATTTTCAAAAATTGGTATTTTCAAAATGCGGTCACACTGCTCACTTTTCACAAACTCAAAATTCAGGGAGTTCAACCAAAACAATCCACCAACTAGCCCCCCTACATCACAGCTGATGACATACTTTCTTTACAAGTGAGCAAACTAATTTTGCATTACAACCCCTGACCATTCCACACAAAGTCTCACCATGAAAACAGTGAACTGAAACATTAAGTTTTGTGAAGCAATAAACAATGATGACTTGGCTGGAGAAGCTCCTCCTAATTGTGGTTGGTCAGAGGACACACATTTAAATGTAAGACAATTAAACTACCTCAGATACATTACTAAAGCGATGCATCATTTAGTATTTATTAACTGTACACTAAAGATGTAGCGAATGCCCTCTGAAAGGAGTTTATTTTAGCATACGTTATGATTTCATAAAATCTCATCCACTGTCACAAATTAGATACTTCAGTTTTTAAACTAAGCCCCTGGACAGATGTGTTTCGCATGAAACTTAACAAACAGACCTCACAGGAGTGGTGAAATTGAGCTCGCCCACTCTGAAAGGTGAGAAGAAAATTGCCTTGAAGAGGTTACCCACATCTCATACAGTTGAGTTCAGACTCATACACACTCATGTACCTAGAAGTACATTTCTCAGACCTAAGGTAACATAGATAATTTCACACACATGCACGCCTCCCACACCACACGCTTAATTAATTCTAATTTGAATGCTGTGGCCTCACCTCCTACACTGATGCTTTCTGATGGTGAATGAAGAAAAAAAAACATTATTGCTTCCTAAGTGGGCAAGAAGATGAACAGAGTGAAGGAAATAATTGTTAAAGTAAGTAAAGTGAACAGATTTTGATAAAACTACAACTGATTAACTTTTCTCATCAACCTGATTCAAGAGGGCTGCCACAGCTTATTAACCTTGGCAGCCACAAAAAAAAAGCTGTAACTGCGTTCATGGATCATTTTGCAAATACCACCATGTTTGCTAAGCGCAAAGCATCATGGGGCAAAATTAGGTCGTGGAAATCACTGTGCAGTGTTAATTTGCAACACTGATCATAGATACAAGAACATTACAGAATATACAGTATTTTGAAAACTTCAGTTTGTCACACAAAGTTCTACTACAGGTCTAGCATTGTCATAGAGGTCTAGTAGTGGAAAATATTACAGGTCTAGTATTATAGTACAGTTCTACTGTTATAGTACAAGTCTAGTATTATAGTACAGATCTAGTGATATAGTAAAAGTCTAGTATTATAGTACAGGTTAAATGCTATAGTACAGTTCTAGTGTTATAGTACAGGTCTAGTGTTATAGTACAGGTCTAGTGTTATAGTACAGGTCTAGTAATATACTAAAGGTTTAGTAATGTAATACAGGTTAAATGCTATAGTAGAGTTCTAGTGTTATAGTACAGGTCTAGTATTATAGCACAGGTCTAGAAATATAGTAAAAGTCTAGTATTGCAGTACAGGTCAAATGCTATAGTATAGTTCTAGTGTAATAGTACATGTCTAGTATTATAGCACAGAGCTAGTACTATAGTAAAAGTCTAGTATTGTAGTACAGGTTAAATAATATAGTACAGTTCCAGTGTCATAGTACAGATCTAGTGTTATAGTACAGGTCTGGTATTATAGTACAGGTCTAGTAATATAGTAAAGGTCTAGTATTACAGTACAGGTTAGATGCTATAGTACAGTTCCAGTGTTATAGTACAGATCTAGTGTTATAGTACAGGTCTAGTATTATAGTACAGGTCTAGTAATATAGTACAGGTTAGATGCTATAGTACAGTTCCAGTGTTGTAGTACAGATCTAGTGTTATAGTACAGGTCTAATATTATAGAACTGGTCTAGAATTATTGTACAGGTTAAATGTTATAATGCAGTTCTAGTATTTTAGTACATTTATAGTGTTTTAGTACAGGTCTAGTGTTATAGTACAGGTCTAGTGTTATAGTACAGGTCTAGTATTATAGTACAGGTCTAGTGTTATAGTACAGGTCTAGTATTATAGTGCAGGCCTAGTATTATAGTACAGGTTAAATGCTATATTACAGTTCTAGTACTTTAGTACAGGTCTAGAGTTATAGTAAAGGTCTAGTATTATAGTACAGGTTAAGTTCTATCATTCAGCTCTAGTGTAATAGTACAGTTCTAGTGTTTTAATTCAGGTCTAGTATTATAGTACATGCCTAGTATTATAGTACAGGTTAAATGCTATATTACAGTTCTAGTACTTTAGTACAGGTCTAGAGTTATAGTACAGGTCTAGTATTATAGTACAGGTTAAGTTCTATCATACATCTCTAGTGTAATAGTACAGTTCTAGTGCTTTAATTCAGGTCTAGTATTATAGTACATGCCATATAATATAGAACTGGTCTAGTATTATAGTGCAGGTTAAATGCTATAGTACCGTTCCAGTGTTACAGTAAAGAGTTATAGTACAGGTCTAGAGTTATAGTACAGGCCTAGTATTATAGTACAGGTTAAGTTCTATCATACAGCTCTAGTGTAATAGTACAGTTCTAGTGCTTTAATTCAGGTCTAGTATTTTAGTGCAGGTCAAGAGTCATAGTACAGGTCTAGTAATATAGTACAGGTTAAATGCTATAGTACAGTTCTAGTGTTTTTAGTACAGGTCTAGAGTTATAGTACAGATCTACTGCTATAGTACAGGTTAAATGCTATAGTACAGTTACAGTGTTATAGTACAGTTCTAGTGTTTCAGTTCAGGTCTAGAGTTATAGTACAGGTCTAGTATTATAGAACTGGTCTAGTATTATAGTACAGGTTAAATGCTATAGTACAGTTCTAGTGTTATACAGNTAGTACAGTTCTAGTGTTATACAGTTTTAGTGTTTTAGTACAGGTCTAGTATTATAGTACAGGTCTAGAGTTATAGTACAGGTCTAGTATTATAGTACAGGTCTAGTATTGTAGAACTGGTCTAGTATTATAGTACAGATTAAATGCTATAGTACAATTCTAGTGTTATACTGTTTTAGTGTTTTAGTACAGGTCTAGTATTAAAGTACAGGTCTAGAGTTATAGTACAGGTCTAGGAATATAGTGCAGGCTTAGTACTATAATACAGGTCTAGTGAAATAGAACAAGTCTAGTGTTTTAGTACATGTCAAGTGTTATATTACACCTAGTACTATAGCAGTGTTGTAGTGTTTTGGGCCCTTTGGTAGTTTCAACAAAAGACTGTGGCCCCTTGTTATTGTCCCAGGGACTAGGGTGCCCAGGACACACATATGAAGGTCTGGACACAATTTTGTGAAAAGAACAACACTTTAATAAGAATGAAAAAAAGAGAGGTGCTGGGAGGCCCACCAAAATAAACAAAAAAGAGGGAGAAACCCCAAACCAGCCAGCAGTTCCCCTGTTCAGGCCACTTCCCCTTGCCCTCAGGTCCAGGATCTCACCCTACAACCGACAACGAGATAAAGGGAGCTGGTGACTCCCAGACCAAACAACCAAGAGTCTACAAGGACAAAAGGAGCTGTGGTGAGGCTGGAGCACAGAACCCAAAGAAACCACCATCTCGCCTCAGGCTACTTGCTCATCTGACTGCTTGTTTCCCTTAAATCACCTTTCCAGCCAGTCAGCTGATGGGAGAGGACATCAGTTAATTAGTCAAACAAAATAACACAGAGACACGTCACACCCCTTTCATCATTTAAGTTGTGCATCCCTGTGCTAACATGTGGCATTCATATTTACTGCTATAAACACAGCATGCTGCGTGTAAAGTCACATCTTCTTCTGCTTGTGTAGGTCTCTTCAGGGCTGTGGACTCTTCTGGAGTCTGATGATAGTCACATTTAAATCAAAATGTGAACAACTATCAAAAAAAATCTGAATTGAGTGTTAAGACCTGCAGGGTGAGCGGAGTCATTGCTTTAAATTTTGACATAGCTACAGGTCAGTAAGTAAGGGAATGCTGCTTTCATTTATTGTTATCATTTGGCAGCAAACAAGAAGTCAAGCAGAGGTCCCTGAGTAATTTCCCCCAACATGTTAAACTCAGTTCAAACAGCTGGAATATTTTTTCAACTCAGCAGCAGCTTCTTTTGTCGGACCGAGCTGGTAACCCTGACGTGCCTCCGTGGTCCGTCAACCTCATTAATAAAAACATGAACTCGGAAACAGCGGATCAATAGTTATTGACTCAGGCTGACTGGTCTGACACACGGGTGGGATTGATGGGGCCGGGTTAATCCTGCGTGATTAGAGACGAAGACAGTGTCGTGGAGACGTCTCACTCCAAACTCGTTGACAGAGATTGTCTTTCTCGTGCTACGCCTGCTTTTTAGGTTAACATTTTTTTTACATGTCTGGGTGTGTACAGACACTCACACACACCCAAAACACACACATAAGTTTGCATTTCTATCCTACGGACTACTGGTCCTGTGGAGATAAGTGTGTATACCTGAAAAGGTCCTAAAAAGGGAACAAAAGGTACACATATATGCACTCACAACTAAACTGTTGTTTTATCTCAGACACCTTTATGACAAGCAAACAAACAGTAAAACTAAAACCTGCTGCTGCATCATTGAGGCTGGAGCTTCTGTGCTTTCGACTCACAAACGTGGAATACACGACTTGCACAAGCAACACACACACACTCACACACAGAGGGGAGCTGAGCGGCGAGTATAAAAGGGGCATCCTTCCCACTCATCAGACAAGTGCTCTCCTCGTTCTTACACACTCTTTAAACACGGCGAAGCTCTTTTTTCACGGTAAGAAAACCTTTATTTTGATCACTCATAGACTGAGATTTAAGTCTTTTTTTTCAGTATTTAGAATGTTTTTTAATGTGTGATTGTCAGAATGAAACAGTGGAGCAACAAGACGAAACAAACCAATTTTGTGTTGAAAAAATCCTAAAATATGATAAAAGGTGACTCTTTTCCACCTGAACAACTTATAGTCGAATTTATTTTGTTCAACAAAAAAACTGCAGGGTTGGTTCAGTTTAATAAAAACTGTTTATTTCTGGAGAAGCCTGAAAACGAGCTGAAGTAGAGGATTTGATTTTATGTATTCTGTGATGTGATGTTGACCTTGATGCTCATGATGTAAGTGAAGCTGCTGACATGTGATGACAGTGTGAATATGCTGCTGATTCACACACTGTCCCTGGAGTCGGACTGATGCTTATCTGTGACAGAGTAGTTGGCAGATGGAGCTGTCTCATCAGTTCAGTCTTTTTACTAGAAGCCCCCTGTGTTTTCAGATGACTGTAGGACTGTGTGTGTGTGTTGTGCTGGCGGTCCTGTGTTCAAGCTGTTTGGGACTCCCCTTCTCCTCCCAGCCCTTAGAGGAGGGCCAGCGCTTCATCTCTGCTCCCTCTGAAGGTACCCCTCTGTTTTCTGCAATCCAACCCCCTTCTTAAAGCAGATTTGTTAAAGTCCCCCCCCCCCCACACACACACACACACTGACATTTTCTCTTTGTGTCTTCAGCCGTCCTTGAGGCTGACACCCACAGCTTGGGGGAGCCCCACCTTCGACACAGCCGCTCCAACCCCCAGCTGAAAACGCTCCCTGCCAACGACGAACACGCAGATTCCCGCGCAAACCTCAGCGAGCTGCTCGCAAGACTCATCTCCTCCAGGAAAGGTGCGTGAGTGGACTCTGGTCCTGTGTTTTTGCGAGAGGTCTCCTGCCGTGGATGTGTCACCAGGAGTTTGGAGAAAAGCATCTGGAACATTTGCAACTTTGGTTGATTTTTAGTGATAAGTGCACGTTTCCTGCCACTCTCCTCCCATCGGTCATAGCTAATTACTGGTATTAATGCAAAGGCAGCTTGGTAAATGAATTAGTGGCCCTGAAAAGCTTTTGTGGTTTGAAAAAGCGTGTATTAATGTATGTTGCCTTCCGGACATCCTTCAATCTTTAACCATCTTTTTTTTTCAAATCTGACTTCTAATCGCTTGATCTTTTATATTGTCAGTAATTCTTTTATTGCTCATCACTCATACACAAGTTTGTATTGCTGTCCTTATTAGGACCGTTCATTGACTTCCATTCTTTTCTACAGCCTAACCCTCACCCCTTACCCTAAACCTAACCCTTCCAGTACATACCTAACCCTAACCCTAAACTCAATTCACACTAAGTCCTAGAGCTAACCCTCAACCCAAAAATGGAGTTCCACCATATTAGCACCAGCCTTTAGTCCTCATAAGGACTAATGGTCTTCACCAGTGGGTGTGTATACCAGAAGCAGTCCTAAAAAGTAATGAAAACAAGTACACACACACACACACACATACACACACACACACACACACACACATACACACACACACACACACACGTACTCTCGATCTTAGAGTTCAGAATAAAACTGACTGTCTTGTGGTAAAAACATTTCAGTCTGATCATTTTCCCAGAGCTGAAAAAACTGACTGCTTAATATTTGAACACTCATTTAAAGCTTTGAAACTTGAAACATTTTTTTGCGTCTTTTCCGATTTCATTGCTCCAAGTTGAAGACTTTAGATTTCTTTTTCCACTTCTTGATAATTTCATAAATTAACCCTAAAACCACAGAGCTGTAACTAAACCAGAACCCATTAGACTCTGAAGGATTCTTATTCTTTCCTGTTACATAAGACGCAGTTTAGGACTTTACATGACCAAAAAATAAATAAATCCATCATTGGAAACTGTAAGGTCAGACGTAGAAATCAATATAATCTCAAAATGTGCACAGAAATTGAGTTCTAATACCTGAGGCGCCCCTGCTTCACCGTGTGCTTGTGGGCGTCTGTGCACACTGTTCACTTGCCTGTTTCGGTGTGGGAGGTGTCGTTGTCGAGCCTTCTGCGGCCAATCTCCTCTGCACACCAGGGAATGGAAGTGTGTGTGTGTGTGTGTGTGTATGTGTGTGTGTGTGTGTGTGTGTGTGTGTGTGTGTGTGTGTGTGTGT